GCGGACAAAGGGCCTCCACAGTACAATTGTTTCAATTTTAGGAATAGACTCTAGAGGCGCTATATTTGTATATATTTACACATACACGTGAACTTTTTCTTTTGTTAAGAAATTCCATCAAAGTTGTGTTGTCGCAGGGCGGCGTTGATCTACGCCGCTATCATCAGTCCGGAAAGGCTGTTAAAAAACTGAAATTGACCCAACACCTTCTTGAACTCGAGTCCTGGAGTTGAACTTGGAAAAAAGAAAGAGTTTGAACCCAAGGTTCGAACATACACTGAGTTCCGACCTTTTTGAGATTGAAAAATGACCAATGGCTGACAGGTTACATTGCATGATGATTCCTATGGGTCGAGCATGCTTGCTGCAAACGTTATCTCTTTTTTCTGATGCTTTTGGAACCACTACTAGACATTTAGAACTTTCCAATCCAACAAGCATGTGCAAGGCAGCCGGATTCCCGTCAGCAGCGTAAACGAAGCCACCAGCACCAAACTTTCAATCAATCACAAAACAACAAACATATCACTAAGGTCACGGGTTCGAAAAAATTTTCCCAAGAAGAACAGGGCCGGATTCAAGGCCTTCCAAAGATTCAATCCCATCCAAGGCTTGCGCATGGCAACCGAGCGAGGCGAGAAGTTTTATTGGCCTGAATTGTGCGAAAGGAAATTTGCAGGCTAGGAAGTTCTGTCGTTGAGAGGCAAGCATTCCTATGAAAGGAATCACTTGTTTCATGTGTGCAGAGAAAGCACTGTCGAGCAGGCCCACTGGTGACCCCAAGTTTGATGCACACCCGGCCAAATGTATCAAGTTGTGCCAAACAGGTGAGGGTCTTGTCTTATCTGCATTCTTCCAGTTCAGTGATTCGGCAGTAGACCTAATCATTCTTTTTCCCACCAGTGCCCTGCAATCCGACCAGCAGGATGCCCCAACCAAAAAGCCGGGGTCCGGCAACGAGTTGCCGGGGACACAAACGGAAGAAATTTTGTTTTGGACAATGGACCTACCAGATGACTTACGGGCTTACCCGACGTAACGAGTCCCGGTGCAGAGTTTTGCGCCGATGGCCTTCGGCAGCCGTTGTCCGTCAAGTTGTTGCGATGTGTTTTGATGAAGCATGCCTGTTGTAAACATGACTTGTGGGATGCAGCACACATATTGTTAGAACGGTACTTGTTGCCAGCAACATGGAAGTCCTTGAGAGGGATATACATGCTGCGCCATGGCAGAACGGAGGAGCCGTACCTTCAGTTCGTCCGAGGAGCCACAGCGACTGTTTAATAGGCAATGCGTGTGCTACTGATCAGGGGTAACGACCTGCAGGAATGGCAGCAAGCTCTGCAAGCGTTAAATTCACCGCCACAATCCAGGCCCATGCAGCCAACCCGTTCTCGTTTGCAATGACTTGTGTTGTGGACCCAAGGTCAGCTATCTACAGACCAGAGCAGGTGTTCCACCATTCAGAACGCTACTCATTGGGTCATGCAGTGAAGGACTTTGGTTTTAGAGCAACTTGTAAGATGTGACGATTTTGCCAGGGTTGCGGCCGTGTAATTAACATGCAGGATATGGCGCGTGCTTTCCGGGAGCGTCACATGGAAACCTCGCTAAAGAAGTTGCGAGCGTCGCCTGCTCTCATTTTTCTCAAAGTGTCCTGGCTGTTCCGGACTGGAAAGTGTGTTGTGGGACTTATGGCCTTGTTGTGGCTTACTGCAGTAGCCGGTATGAGGAGGAATCATCATCCCCTGGGTAGGTTCTATGTGCAATGGACAAGGTAGAAAGCCAGGAGTCGTCTGGTGTGCTCATTTAACGTGACATGCGCTGTAATCATGCCAACTGAGCAATTTCAGACGCTACAGTTGTAGGCTCTCAAGCATTCGAATCGCTAGGCCCTCTGCACAAGTTGGCTACCGGTAGGATACCATAAGTGTTCTTTTGCTGTGATAGCTAACGTTGTTCTGATCGTTGCGTTCGATGCCTTGCAACCCCTTGATCCCCACCCCGCTGCAAGGTTTGGCACACCTACGGCATTTGGGTTGGTGCTTGTGTATATTTTACAATTTCGGCGAACTTGATGCTAGCCTGGTACATCGACTGGTATCGAACCACCGGCACGTACCGCACCGAGCAGCTGGCCTGAACTGTTTTTCGTTGGGTTCATTGTCGCGGCCGGTATGTATGCATGCCACTTTTGCAGGTCCCGTGGTGCTTCGTTCATCTTTCACTTTGATTTGGCGCCTTTCTTTGCAATATTTTGTCGATCTTGGCTCCTGGTGCGCGTAGTCGGAGACTTGCTCCGCTTTTGCTACCTGTTGGCCAAAGATGCATGGGAGGAAGATGCGTGCCTTGGAAGCACGTAAGCCTGAAAGTGTGAGCTTGTGTTCTCCTGACACTGCTTTCTTGCAAGCTGGAGTACGAGGTTCGTAACGTACAGACGAGTTGTGTGTGGTGATTTCCAGCGAGATCTCCGAGACGAGATGGAGAGGAAGCCTGATCGTTCCAGCCAATGGTCTGTCGAGATGTTGAGTTCCCCAGGCCACATTGCCAGAAGTCACCAGCTTGACGGATTTTTTTTGGAATGATATGTCACTTTTTCATGCAAGGCTGCCGCGCTTTGGATGTTTTTCTCCAGATCTCAATCTACCTCGCCTTGGATGTTGTTCCTGTGGCTTGCTTTCTGATTTCCTATATTGAAGAACAAAGCTTTGCGAGGCTTGGGCTGCAGGACAGAGCAGTGTAATGCGTTTGTCTTCTTGGCAGACCTTGCGAAGATCGTCTAGTAGCACATGAGTCCTGTGCTGCTGACACCAGCTCTGCAGTTGACTAGGAAGACACTCCATGTCCGCATCCTTAAACCAAGCAACACAGACACAGATTAGTAAAGAAGAAACATCGACCAGGGTTCACAGCAGATAGTTGTGCCTTTCATGTGACCAGTTTAGAATCTTGTGAAAGCTTTTGCCCAGAGGATGCGGAAGGAAGGACATTTGCAGAGGTGGAGTCCTGGAGTGCTAAGCTGTGAATAAGGAACGCAACGGTGGCAGCATCTGCCGGCCTCTCTGGCGGCCGTTTAACTGCATGATACAGAACAGTTACAGAACCAAGTCAGGAAAGTGCCGATACTTGGAAGCGCCCCAGGATGCGTGGAACTCAGGAAGCTGTATCCACGTGTTCGTCTTCTTTCTCGCCATGTGGGTCACTGACGTGGTTGCCAAACGTCGTGGCTTCATGGCGGCATATCGTGGTGAAGCTCGCCTGGCTCCTTGCGAGTATCCAGGATGCGACCGAAGTCTTCGCGACAATGGCTTTCATCGTTGTCTGACTTGTCATGTGTGTCTCGTCGTGCTGCCAGGAGAGTCACTTCAAAACTTTCAATGGGCCGGCGAGTTCGGAGACAGGCGAGATTGAGGGTACTGAAAGGCTTTTTTAGGACATTCGTCACGTTGCTTAGGCACCTGGCGAACTTGGAAGCTGCACGCTGCGTGTCCTTCGTTGAGGTCACCGGGCCAGCCAAATTCAAGACCTCACCGTTTAAAGGTTGGACTCGAGTAACCAGACGTCTGTTGATTCGCGGAGGACTCCTTGGATGGGCCCCCAGATCGCTGCCTCTCGCCACGCAGCAGCGGCGGAGGGGGTGCAACCTGGCATCAGAATGGGCAGTACTCGCGGCATGCTTTTTCTGACCTGAAGTGGCGGCCGGAACTTCGGAAGGTGTCACTGGGGGACCGATCCGATCAAAGTGCACCATCCAGTGTCGTGACATCAGATGTTGCGAGAAGGCGCAGATGATCAGGTGTCCACGTTGTACATGTTGCAGTGTTTGCAGTGCCAGGCCGGGTGGATCGGTACATTTAGCTTCTGCAGGTGCTCTTGATGTGCAGGCTCTGACCTTAGAACTTGGCTCCCTCTGCAAAGCCTGCTCTTGCGCCATCTTGCAAGGAATCCAGCTCCAGCGCGTTGCCACCCAGGCGACCCTTCAGCTTCCGTGATGCAGGCTTTGATCTTTCGATGTGCAGGTTGGACATGCTTGCTCGCCCCCAACGCAGCGAGACCGCCGGGCCGGGTGAGGGATCACGTGCTGACACCATGACTGGAAGAGCACGGTGGTGTGAAGGTCCACCGACAGAGTTGCCGTCGCACTTCCGACGTGTTTGGGAACCAGAATCGGCACGTCAAGCTCTGAAAGAATCATGGCTACCAGACATGGCCATTGATTTTGCAAGGCGGACCAGCTTAATCTCTGTATTCCGATGTGCGTATGCTTCAGCGGAACTTTGGCCTGAGACCCGGCAGTTAGACACGAGCAATATATGTGTCAGTCGGCAGTGCGTTCTCAGGCAGCTATCAGTACTGTGCAGCAGGCATCAGCATTCGCAGGTGCAGGCTCCCATCCATTCACTGTTTCCTTGGTTAGTTCATGACTGTAAACTAAATCAGGCAGCCATCCATTCACTCTTTCCTTCGTGAGTTCATGAGTGTAAACTAAATTGAAATAACCATCCATTTGATTCGACATCTGATCAGTCGAATCCAACGTAGTGGTTTGTCGAGAATCAGGACTGTATGTATGCATGCATGTATGTATGTATGTATGTATATATATATATACAATTATATATATATACTGATTGATTGATTGTTCTAAACCCCCGGCTCTTGACCGTAGACTAACAGCGCATTTTTATGTTTTGATTCAGGTTAAGGACCTGCTCCAAACACGGCACGGCGCAAGTACACGCAAGGGCGAGCGCAAGGGAATAAGCATTGTACAGGCTACCTAGGTTAAGATGGCCTACTTGGTGTAGAGTCCGTTGCCGTGCAAGCTTGCGGTTAGGAGTTCCCCTACAGCGCAGCTGCTGCAATCAAGTACGGGGACTTGACGAGTAGCATAGTCATGGCAAGGGTCGAGCCGTCAACACCGCCGCCCCGCATTTGCCAAGTGGGCACGTGTCGTTCATGGAGCATTCCAGAAGGGCACATCCCTCCCACTTGTGAGCCATGGCCAAAACCGACCTCCAAACTGCTTTTGTTCTTGTCTCTGTGCGCTTCCACGACATCTTACCCCCAACCCTTGAGAGCGTATTCCAGCGATTCTGTGCCTCTTGTTGGAAAACCACTGGGTTGCGACTTGGCTTGTGGGACGAGGTTCTGCTACAAGCAATGTTCCGTAGTAAGTCAGACATTATGATTGATTGTTGCGCATGTTGGGTCAAACTTCTTGTTGTCGCTTGGCCTGTAAAGGCTTCAAGCTAGGAATGTGTTTAAAGCTGTGTGCGCGCAAGAGCGCGCAAGGGCGAAGCACAAGGGGATTTTCGAGTTACAGGCTGCAACCTTAATAAAGAACAACCCGCATGTAACTCCCATCCACTTCGTGAGGGGATGGCACGCTTTTCCTCCACTCCCCGGGCTGGCCGGGCTTGCATAAGGGGGAGCGCGCTTTAGTGTTCATGTGTTACTACTTGATTTTACTTTCCACGAACCCTGCCAGTCCTTTTCTGTCCAGCCGAGCCCTCTTTGGACAATGCCCAAAGGGGGAGAGACGAGTTACAGGCTGCAACCATAATAAAGAACAACCCCCATGTATGTTTGTATGCATGTAGGTATGTAGATACGTATGTATGTAGGCAGGTAGGTGTGTGGGTATGTATGTAGCTATGTATGTAGGTTTGCATTCATGTATGTACGTATGCACGTGGGACTGTATGTCTGCATGAATGTCGATTTGTAAGTTACCATGCATGAGTCGAATTGTGCAGGCATACATGTATAGGATTTCCGAATGTTCCTGTGCATACCGAGGCTATAGCCGGCTTGAGTCGCGACAAACAGGCCAGAGTCGGTTTGTTTCTGGTAGCGGAGTTTAGCTCCTTCTCTCGCTACACTCGCTGTTATAGCCGCCATAGCCGTTCGCCGGTCGGAGACTGGCAGCCGGGACACGGCCCCAGGCCACACGTGGACTCCAAGCACAACGAGCACTACGACTGGAGTTCCGTTTCCACGCCACGCTGGGTAGTGCTGAAAGCAACGCGGCGGTGGGCGTTGCTGGTTTCACCAGGTAAGAGCAACCCACGCCTGCACAACGTGGTGATCCGGAACGAGCCCTACTACCCGATTAAGGGCGAGACCTATTACCAGATGACGCTGCAGCTCGGCAAAGCCATTCTTCCCAGGTTCAAGAAGCAATAACTACCCCCTAATGAAACAAGGAGGTGTGCCACCGGAAGAGTGGCGCAAACTCGTGCCTCCTGGATGGCAGCCGGGCATCGACTCGTACCCAGTTCGCTTGTACTTCTCGAAGCTGAAGTAGTGGTATCGTTGCACCGAGGTTCCGGATGAGATCGTCGGCCCGCTTGTCGCTGGGTGCCTGGTTGGGCGAGCATGGCGGATAGTGCTGGAACTTCGTCTGGTGAGAGCGGACAGGACATATGATGTGGGCGATGGTGCCTTGGTTCGCCTGAGCACCGATCAGGTAGTGGACCCTCGAACGCGTGATAGCTTCGAGTGGAGGACGCAAGGACGAAGGTTGGCTTAGAGCTGGATAGGTCGCAAAATCTTCTATGTGGTTGAAGCAAGCCTGCATACCGCAAAGGCACCAGGATGACTTGCGACTTCAGGTGCACGGAGACCTTTGCCGACTCAACGATATCAGGACTTTTGGCGCTGAGGGCCCACCGAGCGGAGAAGAACACCGCCGACGTCTTCGACGAGGAGGTGTTTGAAAATCTCCGCGGACTATGACCCGTGGCTTGACGAGTCGTTGTGGACCGACGCTTGGTGGAGCGATGATTCGTGGCTGTGGAGATAAACTACTACTAGGACTATGACGACTATACCTGGTGCGGGGACGAGTATCGTCATAGATCCTGGTGCAGCAATCGGGCTCATCGGAAGTGAAACACTGCGTGACCTTCTTCAGCTTGTGGACAAGAAGGACCTGGTGCAAAAGACGACTGAGTGGACGCAGAAGCACTCCGAGGTCACGGGCATCAGCGGTTCAGAAGAAAAGGACGTGTGGCCAGGTGAAGAATGGTGTGCCGATGATCCCCGGACTCTCCGGGCCAAGCTACGTCGCTGATGTTGTTGGCAGCGAGGCCAGTTGCTGCCCGCCTTTGGTTGGCAATCCTGCCTTTGTCGGCGTGATCCAGTTCTTCAACAGACACCGTCGGATCCTACGCTGGAATCAGGCCCAGTTCTCCAACAGACACCGTCGCATCCACAGCGCAGACAACATGTACCACAAGCGTGAGGTCCAGAAGTGCATCACCCACGTCAGTGCGATTTGTGACGCCAGACACGTCTCCTTTGCCAACAGGAGTACCAGTCCGATAGTTACCCGGACGCGACCGAAGGAGCAAAGGTCGTACAGCTCGACAGGCGCTACAGTCGCGTCAAGGACGAGTTCTGCGCTACACGAAGTCAGGACGTCGTCCGGTGACCCCTGGATCTTTGCCGGCTCCTCTCGCTTGTCTTACCTTGCGCTTTGCTGGCCGGCCTCACCGTTGCCTCCCCGTCGGTCGACGACTCCCGGTATACGGCTGGAAGACTGGCCTGAAGGAGCGCCAGAGACCTCTCCTAAAGCCCAGGACCTTATGAGGTCATCGTGAGGTCTCCTTCGTGCGCTCCTTGGGCATTCATTTCGACGGCTACCCGAACTTGAACGAGACGCACTTCGAGCCTCAGAGCAGTCTGCGACTCAATCCGTCAAGCTCTGGGCTGCTCGACAAGTGGAATGCAGAAAATGCTTCTTGGTGCAATGCTTCGGTGATCTTTGCATGCATTCGATTTCTTCACTGCAAGCAGAGCTTTCACTCTGTCTACAGAGGCAGCGTGTCGAACTTCCCCTCGAGGAACACCGGGACATCGCCTTGGCCATGGTCACGGACATGGGCGCCAACGCGGCGCATCAGAGGAGTATCCTGCTCCTATGCCTTTCCTGCGGACTGAGGTCGGCGCCCTTTCGGATCATCGTCTCAGAGGCGAGGTCAAGGCATGGGCGGTGAAGAAAGCTCAGGACCCATGTGCGCTGACAGACAATCAGCTGCATGAAAAGAGGTTCTGCGAAGTTTGGGTCATCGCTTTCTTTGGAGCCACTGCGAAGGACAAAAGACTACTGGGAAGTTAATCGACTTCGTGTCCGGTGCCTGAACTGCACTCTTCAGTCGTCGCGAGGACATCGGCCCAGTGAGTTTGGAAGAGCTGTTCGCAAGCCGAACCACCGTATGACAAGCCCGGTCCGAAGGTTGTGAAGCTTTTGAAGATGGACAGGCGCCACTGAGTTCACGCGCTCAACTCCCCGGACCAAGACGACGAAGTTGAGGCCGATCCTGTTGTCCGAGAAGCAGAGGAACGAGAAGGCGAGCGCGATCGAGCAGACCAAGCTCAGGTTGTTGAAGTTGAGGATGCGCCCGCCACGCAGGTCGAGCTACGACTTTCGTCGTGTTTTGGTACGCTTGCCCCGTATGAGCAAAGAGGACCCACAACAGGCAATGCGCCTCCTCCTCGGCCTGCATGAACGCTTCTGGCATGCAGGTGCAGGAGATCTTCAATCCATGCCCAGCCGGGCCGGCGTGACGGCCGAGACCTTGAAGTTGGTGCTTGAGGTGATTGCCAGTGGTTGCCAGCTGCGAAATATGTCGCCGATCCAGCCGATTGAAGAGCAAGCCCAAAGTCCCAAAGTCAGAGTGGATCAACCCACGTCGTTCAACGAAGAAGTTGAAGTGTACTTTTTCCGCCTGTGGGAGACATGGTTCACGATGATGGTCGACGTGGCCACTCACTACAAGACGATTGTTACGGTTCCTGGGCCAGACCTTCAGTCTGCGCTTCGAGCGCTACTACAACATTGGCTGCGGTACTCCGGGCCCATGCATGGTTTCGGATCAGGAAAGCGAGGCAGGTGCCGAGATGGAACGTCTTTGCTTGCATCGGCTACGGCAGGGACTACCCGCGACCCGCGGCAGCGCGCAATGGCAACATTCACAACGACTGGCGTGGTGGAGAAGGCACCGCCTGGCAAAGATCGCGATGATGAAATTTCGGTCCGAAGCAGAACGCCAAGGACTCGACGTCAACTACCAGGACATTGCAGCCGAAGCTTCGTTCGCTAAGAATGCCACAACCAACATCGGCAGATACACCCCTCACATGATAGTTGATAGCGATGGGCACTCGGAGAGTCTTGACCCATAGTAGCAGGAGGAAGACCACGTAGCTCGAGTGGATGGCCAGTGTTCCAGAACTGCAGCTGGCCCGTAGAGAGCCGTTGCATCGAGCGCTCACAGACCATTGCCTTGATCAGCGCATCAGCTGACATACACTCCGTTGGGGTGAGGTTCAGCCCCCGAATGTGGCCTGAAGCACGAGCTTCGCGGTAGTCGAGGACATAAAGGCGCTGGCTTTTATCAACTTTTATTTTGTGGTAGATTCCGTGACCCTGTCGAAGGCTCGTAGAAGTGTCTGCAATCCGTCATGGCATCGATTGCGAAGAAGGGGGCTGCTCCTTGCCGAAGGTGATCTCGGCCAGCCTTGTAGAAACCAACATGGAGCACTCCGAGCCGTTCATAGCCGCCACAGTCTCGCCGTGCCTGTTGAGTAACTCACCCGCTTGGCCTTGTTGCTGTGCGTGTGCAGCAATTGAGCCCGCCCTGAGACATGCAGTCTGGCGAGCTCATCTGATGCAATGATGTGTCTCTCGGATCGGGATGTCGATGTAGTCGTCCATGAGCACAACGAGCACACCCTCCTGAGCGTAGTTTCGGCGTAGTTCTTCGTGGAGGATGCTGCTGATGCATCATGGATGCATGCCAGGCAGTGCGTGCTGCCAGTGACCGTGCTGTCGTTGATCACCGCGTCCTTGTCAGCCTTGGCGCGGGCGATGAGGGAGTTTGCCGCTCGCAGGTGAACGATCTTGACTTTCGTCGGGTGGATGATCTTAGGATCGTCAGGAAGTTTGGTCATCCATCGCCGCTTGTGTGTCGTCAGGAAGACTTCACCCATGAACTCGGCGGCGGGCAGTGCGTTGTAGGCGCACTGCTTCTTGCTTTCCGGGACTGAAAACCACAGCACATTTGTCCGGTCATCGCTTTGTGCCCGAGCCCTCGGCTTCTGGAGTGGTAGTGGGTGATGTGCGAACCAGTGACCAACCAGTGGTGGTTCCTACACTCGAATTCCGCATGGATTCCATGTAGCTTCCGGTGGCTCCACGAAGTTGGGCTCGTAGCTATAGAAGTAATACTAAGTAGATGTAGCACATCTCATCACACCCAGACAACCCTAAGTGCACAGTAGACATGTCAGTGCCGTTGGGGTTGGCAATGATGGACAGCATGCGCGCCGTCCTTCGCCCCCAAGCCACCAGTGTTCCGGTCGCGCCCTCAGGAGTGATCATCTTCTTCAGTCCGGCACCGACTCTTATGCCGTGGCACTCCTCGGTAGTCAGGCAAAGTGAGCCCGGAACCACGTCCTGGAGATTGCCGTTGATCTGCCCCTCGCCCATCGATCGGGGAAAACGACACCATTATCCCCGTGATTCCTCAGTCCTCAGGTGACCAAACGTCTCGATCTTGTACTGCAGGCAGGCTTCCGTGGCTTGCGTGAGCCGGCGCAGGGCTAGCTAGACTGTAGTTCCTGATCTCGTAGTTTAGCCTCTCCCGAAGTGGTTTGGGGCTCATTGCAATAGACGCCGCGGAACAGCCGAAGGTTGCGAATAGAAATGAGATATGGTCTGCGCTGGTGTTCCACGATCGCTGAGCTATTGTCCTGCAGCTTGAGAAGCAACGCTGGTCCACGCCAGCCAAAACCATGGAACATGGAACTCGACCTTAGAGACGCCCGACGCCCGGCTGCATGTCCTCAAGAGGAGCTCGTTGAGGTGGTGTGTGACCTGCGTGTGCAATGCAGCTTTAAGCTTTCAATGAGATGCCGCAGTGAGGGCCGCCTGTCGAAAACGAAGAGCTCGCTCGAAGACCGAAGTGTTCACTCGATTGGACCCAGTACTGGATGCTGGGGGCGTCGATTGTTAAAAAATGGCATAGGCAGAGGACGACTTGAAACCACGTGTTGATACTGTTTGTAAAGGTCGCTCCTGGTTCTTCTCAGCAGCTTCTTGCCGTGGCAGCTTCGCGATGGTTGGGCCCTGGTGCACTAGTGCTTATTGCCACTCCTACGGTGGCTCAACCACTACCAAATCTACTGCCTGTTGCACGGGACTACAGCGACTTCGTCCTTTTCGTGCTGATCCTCCTGATTTTGGTCGCTTCCGCATCCACCCGCATTTTGCTGGACAGATGGTGCACTCGCTACTCGCGAACCTCACCGACTTCAACGAACTCTGGTTCTTCGTTTACTACGTCTACTACGTCTGCTATAGCGGGACGGTCTACGACGACGCCTCCTCCGACGGCAGTCGCGACTCCGTCCCAAGCCGCTTCGTCAATTGAACCGATGCCTCTACCGAATGAAGCTGATGGTCCATCATTTGGATCACTACGGCGTCACTACGGAAAGCCGCAAATATCACTGCGGCACCTGCATCTACATACAGGGCGGCAAGTGCTATGGCCCGTGCACGTTCTGCATGCAGTCGAGGCACCGATGATTCCCAGAGTCCAAAGCGGAGTCGGATTGTGCAGGCATGCATTTTAGCACTTCCGAATGTTGCTGTGCATACCGATGCTATAGCCGGCTTGAGTCGTGACAAAGAGGCCAAAGTTGTTTTGATTCATGCGTCTAATTATGCATTTGTGCATACGTGCTGAATGCATCAGTCTGTTTCCGCATCTTAGAACTTATCCGTGAGCCGTCCCATATATCTGCCGGCCATGCGTTTATCTTCTTCGGTAGCGCATACGCAAAGACCGGGAAACACATCTCTGAAGATAGCAAGGCTGAACATGTGGGCGAAACCTGCTTGTTGTTCTTCTGCATGACATAAAACGGTAAAACTTCAAATAAAACCTTCCAATAAAACGACTGAAGAGTCGTTAATTAGTGGTGCATGAATTCCGTAACATGAGATGTAACATGACTGTCAAACAACAACATCATGCAAACTGTTTGACCACCAACCACGGACTCAGCCATCACGGTGCGTGTTGGCAGGTACGTTTAAATCCAATCCACGGGGCTTCGTTGGCAAAGGTCGTGAAATTAGAAGCTCTGCACTCTAACGTCAACAACGCGCACAACCTGACAAGTTCAAGCTGCAAGGTTTGTTGCATGTACAGCAGAATAACACAAACAGATAACCGCAAAATCCTCCATTGCTGGTGCTTTTGGCCCCCTCACTGTATGTGGCCATTGAAAGACGAGGCCCTTTGCCTTCCGCATCTGCTCTGGGCCATGGCCACGGGTGGTGCCGGAGCGAAGCGTCGACTCTTTCAGCAGCCTTGTAAAGGTTGCCGTTATGATCGTGGGTTGGCAGGCCTGGATTAATTGCAAAAAAGAGCATGAGATCAGGTGAATTTGCAAAGCACCCGTCCTAAGGAGAGAAATTGGGCGCTGGTTGGGGCCGGGGTTGCTCTGATGGTCGGGACGGCCCGGTGCTTAGATGATGTCGAAAACAGTGAAAGCGCGCTCGCAGAAGTGTTATGCTATGCACAAGGTTTGCCGTCGGCAGTGCACATCAGGACCGAGTTTGACACATGTATTCATAACCTTTGCACATCTCTAGAGCATGGCAGGTGGCCCACCAACCGGAGAGCGACCTTGCTTTCCTGGCGCAGGGTGCGAGAGCTAGGGTCAGAGGTTCCCAGCCAGCACACTTGCTCTTGCCAAGGTCGTGGGAGCTTTGGGTTTGGGGCTGAGTCTTGACAGGTTAGACAGCGAGATTGGCACATGTTACAATGCCATCAATGCTCCGACATCAGCTGCCACGGAGCACAAGGCCTTGCAGGCGTGGGGTGAGCGGTATTGCGGACTTCATTCTGAAGTGCAGCAGTCGATGCCTCAGCTCTGCTGGAACCTGTCTAGAGGTTGAACACGGTGCAGCAATGTTGCGTTTGTTGAGCAGCGGCACGAGGTCGAGCAACGTAACTTTCGCAGTCGTGCTCCTTCTTCAGGCCAGGATATTCAAGTTGCGTGCGAACTGTGTGCACCATGAAGCACCGTCAGTGCTCGCCCACTGGCCATCGGGACTTTAGTTTGTTGTAGATAGCCAGAGCAGAAGTGCAATGCCTCAATGCAGTGATTGGAGCTCGCGGTTCAAGCCTCCTGGATGGAAGGGCATAGCCACAGAAACGCTGCACTTTTTTGAAACATGGAGTCGGATAGGTCTTTACTAAAAGTTGCTCCTCCAATGCAGAGAGGGCGGGTTCTCGCACGACGTGCGTCCAGAAATCCTGAGCACAGCATCGGTGACAGTGATCGTGTTGCAGCTGGCGCGAGCCTCTTAGACATTGCCCGGGCCTCCCCAAGAGTGGCAGCTTCGATACGCGCAGTGCCAGGCCATCCTAGCCTAAAAACATCTCAGAGGAAACTTTCGGCTCGAATGCAGTGCCGTAGTACTGCGATTGAGACATGCCTTTCAGAAAACGGACTTCGAGCTGCATGTTAATGTGTCTCACAATGACAGACTCGGACTCATCGCCATGCGCCACCAGCAGTTACCTGCTTGTCCCTGGTTGGTAAGTTGCTCTCGGCGACGGGCAACAACGCGCGACGGGTGAGTCTGGAAGACTCGCTGCTTTGATTTCACCTTCGCTTCCCTCGGAAAAGGCTTAGTTAGGGCGAGGGCCTTGGGGCTGAGGCTACCGACAGAGGGCCGGAGCATAGAAGCGATGCACGGGCAACACACGGAGACAGAGGAGACACGGTGTTGTTGTTGTTGTGCTCTTCTGCGCAAAGCTGGCAGGGCATCCTGCTGGCCACCCTGGGTCAATGGGCAGGCATGCTGGCTGGGAGCCTGCAGCTGCGGCGCAGCATAGCGCAGGATCTGGTCTCGTCATTCCAAGGTCTGCATCGGAATGGTGCTCGTGACCTTTCTGCGGCCGGGGGCTTCGGCAATACGCGGCTTCGTCATGTAGCGTCCCCACTTCACCTAAGGCATCGGATGGCCTACCGCGAGCGCCCTTGGGGTTGGCTGATAGGACTGAAAGCGTCATGATAGCAGGTCCATGTGTTCGGGCATGCAAGTGAAGTTTGTCAAAGACAAAGCCTTGTGCTTCGTAGTGCACGGCTCAAGCGCGGAAGCTAGCTGCTCGAGGGTATATAGCGGACAAGTTGGTTGAGGCACTGGACAAGCAGCCATCGTTGGCTGCGTTTTCAACAGGCCTTTGCTGAGGGGCGTTCTCCGACTTTGCTCTTCAAACACCCTTGTGCATCTCGACCGTGCTTTCTTGCAGCTTCTTGGCGATGTCTGCGACAGTCACTTATCCGTGCATCTTGCGCAGCGTGACAGCGCCTGCTTTGAAGCAAACGGAGCCAGCGTGCACGAAACCTGAGTTGGCACACCAGGCCAGCACAGGTGTCGAGGCAGCATCGCATGACGAAGCTGCCAAGGGGTGGCAGATCAACACCCCTTCGACGATTTGCCCGACACCTCGCACACCGGCATCCCCACCGCCTTTGGCATTGCCAGCCTCAGCCGTGGACATCCCAGCGTCAAGTTTGACTTCTGAGGATGTGCGGCCATTCTGGATGGAAATGGCAGAGGGCGATGAAGGTGTCGCTCCTTTTGATGAGCCCTTGACAGGGAGGCTTGGGCATGCGCCGTCATGTTCCTGAGCTGGCAGGGATATTGTCCTGTCCTGGCGCATTGCATGACTTGCTCAACAAAAACTTTTCTGTCAGTACATGGCCATTCCATCCACTCAGGTATTGACTCCGGGACCGAGAAGGCTTTCAGTAGCCTTGGTCTTCCCGATTGGGTCTTCGACAGCTGCCCTCAGCAAAGGGACGACTTCAGTCCATCTCCAAGGTCCATTCGTCCCTTGGCCTTGCAAATCTTCATTGCTTCAAAGTGCCCGAGTAGAAGCTGTTCTTCTCCTTGTGCTGAAGGGTTTGATGGTGTCTCGTGGGTCAGGTGACTCCTCCGTGGCCAGCTCGCCAAGTTCACCAGCACTCAGCTGCTTCGAAACGCCTCCTCCGCCTTCGATGAGGCCCAGGTCGCCGCAACCCAAGGCTCAGGCGGCTCAGGCGGCTCAGGCTCAGGCTCCTGCCCACGGCCGCGGCCGCATGTCCTGGGCTGATTTGGCAGAGGAGGCTCAAGGGCACAGGGAGGGAAACCCGGCAAGTGTTGGATGACTTCTCCAGCATGCGATTGACTCCAGGAAGAGGAGGAGGCTCTGCACATGCCTGCAGCCGGCAGACAACCAGCCCGGGCCCGGGTAAGCTGGGCAGACTTGGAGGAGGACACTGTAGAGGTGTCGTGGCAGTGGAGATAAATTATGTCCACTGCCACGACACCTCCAAAGGCCCAACGGCTTGCCTTTGGGATGTAATAGGTCGTGAAGGATGAAGCGGGACACGTAGCGCAGGCCGTAAGCCTTAGAAAGGGAGATATGGACCAGATTGCTTTCCAAATCCGCTGATGTGCGCTGCCCCGCTTCGTCTAGGACGTCCCCACAAAATCTGAAGCAGCAAGCAACTGTGTAGCTTGCGAGTTGAGTATGTCTCACCAGCACGCTTCCAGGGTGTAGCCGCAGCCTGAAGCAAATCTAGTATCGATCGCCGATTCACGAGCATGGAGGTGTTTGACGAGTAAGTTGGTCTTTTGCATCAGGAGATGTCTTGCTTACGACTTAGGACGGCACGAGCCGAGTTTCTAGTGAGTTCATGTTTCAGTTCGGACACTTCGCCTAGCCTTGGCCATTTCCGAGCTTGCTGAAGCCTGTGTGCAGTGCCAGTACAGGTTTTTGTTGCAGCTGGCCTGTTCTGGTATGCGACAGCTACATAACCTTGCTCATGTGCTTCTACTCCTCCGAGCGCAGTGATCCTTGCTCTTCCCAAACGTGGTTGCATTGTGAACCGAGCACATGCAAGGAAGATGCTGGTTGCATATCAGAGCATTCACGGTGTTCGTGAAGAGGTTCATCATTTTAAGAGGCAGGTACACTCTGGGAAGCCCTGCATCCTGAAGGTACAGCATGGACGTTCAGTCAGCCCGCTGCTTCCCGGCTTCTGCCCGGTTGCTCACACAGGGTTGCGAGCGTGCTGCTGTGAGTAGTGGGCTTGTTGCTTACCAGTCTATTGACTTCAATGTACAGAACTTGTGAGGTGATGTGAGATGTGAGTTTCTCCCGAGAGCTCTGCTTCCGGACCTGTTCCTCCAGTCTTTCCGATAAGGTTCCGGAGCGGCGATCGGGCCTTCACTGGCTAGAGCCCTTTGTATGGGCCGAGGGTGTGTTGTGGCATTTCTGGCACGGCAGAGCTGTTGCACACTTCTTGAGTGCAGCTTTGCTGGGCAGTCTGTTGCACCAATGGCACCGGCGAGAGGAGCCGGCTAGAGCAATTCGCGAGTGCCTGTGACGACATGTGGGATTTCATGCTGAGTCTGCCGTTATGGGCCCGGTGGCCTGGGAAAGCACCACTATGCCGGACTAAGCCGTGAAATAAGCCTTCCGCAGTGTTATAGTATCTTTCAGCCTTGGCGCGGCGGCATTCAGCGCTTCAGTTGTCACTCGCCAGATTCCGACATCTCGATACGCAGCTCGGTTTCTCCAGTCCTTTGCCGGAGTGCTAAGAGTTACAACGTTGCCACAAAGCGACAGAAGGACCTTGGAGTCAGGGGTGTTGCTGTGCAGAAAACCCAGCTATCTTCTGCTCCTGGGCCAATCATTTTTGTACAGCCTCCTGTATAGAGCCCAAAGACCAGCCGGTGAAGGAGTGAGTGAGAGAGGGAGCGAAGTGCCTTGCATTGGCATGTCTGTTAGCCGCTGTGAGCCACCTGACGGCAGCTAGCGATCTTTACGCATCTCGCGCAGGACTGTTGCTGGGGTTTACACACGGCGTCGTGGCAACAGTGCTGAATGCCGGGCTGGGAGCCTGCGCCGACAAAGCCATGAGGAAGTGAGCCTCCAGCAGAGTGTCGAAGGTTGGGCCGGAGATGGGGAGTCATGACGTTTATGTTCGCTCTCGCTCACCAGCCGTTTCCCCAATGATTGAAGTTGAGGGCAGTTTGGCATGCACACCGCAAGCAGGTGTTTTCAGTGCAGCTTGCAACGATTGCAAGCACAAGAGCAAGTCCTTCCTCAGCTGTGCTTGAGGCTGGGCTTGAGCCGACACAATCCGCGAGGTTGTGGCCCCAGAGCCCGCCGATTTATGGTTTGCCATCAGAAAGAAGCAAGTAGGCTTCAACTTGGCTCGCTTCACGGCTGTACTCCTAAACGGCGTGCTGGTGATCGTCGCCAGCGGCTTGGCAAGCCCGCTTCAACTCGTTTGTGATGCCCTTGACTGTTTTCCATGGCATTTGTTCTTTGCGAGGTTGGTGTCGTCGTTCTGTCCATCGTCTTTCTTGCTACTTGCAAAGGGCCGAACCTGAACGGACTGCTTTCGGACTGGCCCCCGATGCCAGGCGACTCAAAACGCTGACAGCAACTGGTCTGCGTTTTGCACGGAAGGGGATGCCACCTGCAAGTACTACGAGGCGCACGAAATCGCAAACGTCGAATCACTTATCGGTGTCGGGCCATCGAGCTGACAGGTGCCACTCTATGCTTCCAACATGTCGCTGCCGCTTGAATGCGCCCGACACTTCGGATATGGTAAAGATGGGCGCGCCACCTAGATTTGCTCACGAAAGGCAGTGTGCAGCTACGGCAGCTACGTGCACTGCAGACAGGCAACATTTGTTGAGTGTCAGCGACTTCGCCTTGTTCTCGGCCTTGGCCTACGAGTCTGAGGCCTCACTTCCGCATCCGAAGGCTTGAGCGGGCCTGCAAGTCTGTGCGTACAGTGCGAGGATGGGCTGCGCAAAGGCCTGCAACGCTGCCGTCCCAGTCGCAGCACTGTCCGTTGGATCCGCCTTCTCTTGACATACTTTACTATACAGTAATACAGTGTGTGTCACCCTCTGAGGCTATTTTCCTGGGTGGTCCACGATAACCTCGCGCCGTGCAGGCTCTACCGACAAAGCGCAGTGAGCATTCATCTGTCTTCGTCCGTCTTTTTTGTTGTGTTTTGGTGAGGTCTCAATGCGACAGCTTTCGAGAGAGGAACCTCTGACTGGACCGGGTGCAGTCCAGGGTAGCACGGATGCTGCAGATTAAGATCTTCTTATGCAAAACGACACGTCTTGGAATTCAGCCGTTTCTGATTCGAGCTGCATCCGCTCGTGGGCAGCTTGCAAGGCAGGGAGAGCGGCAGATTCGAAGGCACTTTCTACCATTGTTGGTTTGGTCCTTTGGGGTGGTTCGAGAGCATTCCCATGTGCTGATACCGCGAACCTCCGGGCACCTTCAGTCCAAGAGAGTTAGAATTATCTTACAATTTGCTTCCCGCCGAGCCCACGCCAAAATCGGGGTGATTACGCTCAAACGTACACATCAATATCCCTTCAATTCGAAACTCGCAAAACAAAAGCTGAACATCGATCGTGGCTTTGTTCAAACAACGCAAAATCGCGATGGCTCCGGATCGCTTCACATGTGTGTTTGGCTGTCCACTCTCTTTCTCCTGCTTTCGGGTTTCGGGGCGGACGCACAACCGCGTGGAGCTTCAAAAGTGCACGATGACATTTCGAGCCTTGGAGCCTGAAGAGCCCTACATCATCTACATCGAAGCTCTTCACAGGCCTTCGAGGCAGCTTCGCATCACTGCAAAGATCATCAAGGCATCATGTCATGCGCATTTGCTTCAGGTCATGGATGCCAGTCCCTGCGTCCACCCTGACAGTGCATGCGATGCGTTCGATGCGCGAGAGCTCAGCGACATCCAGGGCCGCCATGGCAGCTGCATTTGCAACGGCTGCCACGGCCACCGCCTCCCCGCGAACTCCTGTTCCTTTGACTGGATTCAGGGCGTGATTCGAAGTGGGTATCCAAACTTAAACACCCGTACCTTGATGGTCATGTCCGCATCGCCACGAGCTTCGCATTAGAGTTAGGAGCTTTATGCAATTGCTCTTGGCCTTCACGCGGTCTTGCTGAGAGGTTGGCACTGTCTTCTTCAAAGGAGTGCCGCAGCCAAGCCCTTACAGCTGCACTCAAACGCAAGAGGCGAGGTTGGAGCAGCGGTTGGACTACAGACGTCCTGGCACATTGTGGGACAGAGCGAGTGGAAAGCATTGTGGACTTCCTGCGGGTGGCCCATGTGCAGAGGATCCCGATCCATGCGTTCCACTGCATTAGCGCAATGAGCTTGTGCTCCCAAGCCAGCTTCTGGCGCGACGCGCTTGAGATCTTCTGTCTCTTCTCGAAAGTTTCTAGCCTTCATCCCTTGGCCGCGAACTCCCAGCTTGCTGCCCTTGCAGAGGGTAGTCTCTGGCAGCAAGCTTTGCTTACCCTGCAGGCCAGGCCACGGCAAGGCGATCACGGCAATGCTTAGGTTCAGCCAGTTTTCGACACCCTTTCGTCAGGAGATGCAGGATGCAAGCCTTCGGGCCACTACAGTCACTTTCAGTTCGGCAATCAACGCCTGTGCAAAAGCGGCAGCTTGGCAAAGAGCCCTGCATCTGGGCATTGACATGGCGAGACAGAACGTGTCGAGGCTCCCAAGAGATTCTGTGTGTGCCCTGTTAGTTTCCTGGTATTTTGAGCTTGGTTCCGTGGCGAGCTGGCAGGAATACCATTGCCTACAATGCCATGATGACCAGCTGTGCAATGAGCTCCCAGCCTGAAGGAGTCCTGATGTGATGACTGAGGACAGCTTCTGAGCTGCGAGGTACACAGTGGGCAGAGGCGTTGTCTCTATTTGCGGAGATGATTTCTGCCGGCATTGCGACGCTGAGATGGCTGTTCAGCGACAGTACTTCGATGACGTTTTGGGTTGTCTCCAGCTTAACATGTGTCAAGTATGCATTAACACCCTTGGTGGCCAAGGAGGACAAGCATTTCATACAATGCAGCTATTACGGCATGTGAAAGAGCAGCTGATTGGAAGGTGGCGGTCGCTTGTTCTTGCGCAGTCTTGGAAGCGTGGTGCTTGAATCGACACCAGTCCCGGGTCTCACTGACTCAGGCCGCGCTTCACCTGTTCGGCCTTTGCCTTCGAAGTGGTGGAGCAGATGTGATCAGTTGCAGCGCGGCGATTAGTGCCTGCGAGAAGGCCGCCCAATGGCGCCAGGCAGGTCCTCCTCGGGTCTCTCTTTTGACTGGTCACTGGCAGCCTCGGCCAGGCCCTTTGCTTGCTTGAGATCTGGCGGCTGCAGCGCCAGCGAGCATCTCATGCTGTCAACCTTCCTGACAGCTTCAAGCTGGGACCAACAAAAATTGTGCGCGAAAGCCGTTGTGGTCCCCATCCATGGTTGCCCTGCCGCACACGTCTGCCGCTCGCAGGACCACCTACTTCGAGTTTTGGGATCCTGAGCAGGGGGCCTCCTGCTGGCATGGGAATGGGCACAAGTTTCTTGTGCCCAGGAACTCGACGATTGTTTTCGCCATTCGGGGAACCAACTCCATGCTCGATGTTCTGGTGGGGACCCATAATAAAAACACATCTTTGCAGCAAGCGGGGATGTCTCTGTGCACAGGATGACTTGAACATTTGGGGTCCTGCTGCGATCATGCAAGCCTTCAGCTTGGCCGGCCGAAGCCTCGGAAGCCTCGGAAGCCTCGGTCCGCTGCTGGCGATGCAGCCATTTGCACGTGCCACTAAGATCATGTCTCGAATCTTGAGTAGAACACGCGCAAGGAGAGTGGAGCACTTTTGACGAACAAAGGCTATAGCCTAGAGGATTAAACCTTGAGCGTCCTTTGCCCAGTCGCCCATGTCCCAAGCTGCGGAAGTTCCCTGCATAGCTTTGGATTCGCTCCCCTCGGAAGGGCTCCCGGCTGTGCGAAGCCGAGCCTGCACGATACAGCAGCAATGTTCGCACGCTGCAGACTGTTTGATGTCGGGAAACCTGTGTGTGCCTACCCCAGGTGTCTGAGAGCGTGTGCCGCAGCCTAGATGCGGCTTTTGGTCTGGATGGTCTTGGTCTTCTTTGTGTCACCGGTGATCAGGCGAGGAGAACCGACTTAAGTGCTGAGTGAATTTGCCCTTGAACTCGCACCACTGAGCCTTGAATGGAGCATGCGAGCTTTAGGCAAACAATCGAAAATCCTGAGCAGCTTCTTTTGAGTGGTGCTTGCGGCAAGAACGGTCGCGACAAGCCGGGACAGGCTTGAAGTTTTCTCCATTCCTGCATGGAGACATGCCTTGTTCTTTTTAGCCGTGAGGAAGGATTCTGTGTGTTTTTTTCTTGTCCCAACGGCAGTACTCCGGGGTTGCGTCTCTCAGAAAGGGGTTTTGTCACAAATCACAGCTTTCAGATTTTAGACCGCGAGCTGGAAATCACGGACATGAAGGACATGAGGGCGAAACGACGGAAATAAAGGTGAACATGACGGAAATGAAGGCGGAAATGACAGCGCAGATGCCCGACATGTATACATTATGGAGCCGAAGCACATCCGAAAGAATCGAGACGATCGAAAATGAAAATAAAGCTTTCCCTATCAGCCACAAGTCGAGGGCCATCGCATCGGATGTAATTACAGGTAGCAAGCGGAGCCAGCTTCAGGCGTTGATGCGAGGTGTGGCATTGCCATGTCTTCAGTAACACCGATGTTAAAACGCCTCTTGCCCTGCCTGGCTCCAAGCATGGCGGTGAGCTGGTGCCGAAATTTCGATACTGTGTCCTCACGTCAGCTCGCAAGAGAATCTCTGTTGAACTGAATTTCGTGCATTCCCACCATGGTCTTCATGCTGCTATATGCCGCTTGTGACAATGATGACTCTCCGATTGCCGATACCACACTTACATTGTATCTGCAGTATATTTTAAGTTCTAGCAACCGGGCTATCCACATAGCCTGCATAGTATTCAAATACTGTATGCTGCAACACAACTAGCAAGTTTGTTGTGGAAATCATGTAAATGTACAGCTTATTAGCTCCAGCCAGCATGGCCTAGCGAGGTTGCTCATCACGTCTTTGGCACTTGCAGAAGCCTTTCATCTCTGCCACTCACGTACTGAACAAAGGATCCTAGGAGTTGAGGAATGCCGGAGAACACTGCAATTCAACCACAGGCACATGCAGAGTTGACATGTCGGTGTCAGAGCGAAGCTGGAGGACTTCCAGGCCAAAGTCCGTCAAATGCGCGACGAGCTGCTTCCGCTGGCCACACGCTTGGGGAGGCTGTCTGAGGAAGCAAAGGAGCAGCTGATCGGCAGACTGGTGTAGCATGTGATCAGCTTCGGAGCAGCATGGCCTGGCAGCTATGCCATGGGGGCATCTCATGGCATCTCCATTGCATTCGTCCTGGCTCCTTTCGAGATAATGATTTCCATGGTGATTTTTTCAGGATTCAATCCGCGAACGTGGGACGCTGAATGTGAACAACTACTCACGAGGCCTCTTCGAACGCAGTTTCGTTTAAATGATCTCGGTATTGCGGCACATGGCAGGCATTGATGGGAATCGAACGGGTTTCTACTTCCACCCCGCCTTGGACAATCCAGCAGATTGCCTGCCGCCAGATGTGCAAGCCGAGCCGACTTTCTACACACGAAACCTATGGCCCGACACGGACAGAAACTGCGCCTCACGGTGCCACTTCCCTCTGCCCCCATCGTTTGCTGGGCACCACTCGCAGGACCTGCCGGAGCTGCGGCACCAGGCACGCGCTGCGGCCCCGTGGCTGGTGTCGGTGGCCCGGCGCTTGGCGGCAGCTGTGGACGAGCGCTGCACCAAGGCAGGGCATCACAGAGCGAAGCTTCAGGTCATCAGTGTGTCCCTTCGCGTGAACATGTCGCTGCCCCTGTGTAGCTTCGGCACTGCATCTAGCTGAGAATTGAACGTATTTTCGCTGCTTTTTGCCCGTGCTTCAGGCAGTTGCAGGCTACCAGCCCGGTACTTTGACGCGCCTCATTGGCCCTGCGCAAAACTGCAACCATAAGTGTCGGCTGATATGCTATCATGACACTTAGCTTGAAACCGATACTTGTGTCATAGAATGCAGAAGTTGTGGCCGGTGGGACCGATCGGACTGAGGACTTTGAGAATGCCGAACAGCGTGCGGCTTCCAAGGGCATGTGGGCACCTCCGCACAAGGACTCTCCAAAATGCTATCTACCGTTTTGCGCAGGCGTGGTTGCTCTCTGTGCAGTCGCGAGGACACGGGTCTTCTCACAGTCTTGGTGCCTGGCATCTTTCTAGATCAGTCTGGTGAGAGACTGCAGCAGTCTCCGGATCCAGAAGTTGGTTTATATGTGCGGGACAGGACCGACTTTTCGCCAGGGGTGTGCCATTGAAAAAGCCCGGGCTCGACACGCATGGACTGTGGACGCGACATCGGCAGAAACCCTGTCTGGGAGGAAGGGTCGCATCATGCAGATCTGCATGCCCGCCGGAGTTGGTGAAGGTCTTTTCTTTCAGGTGGGCGAAGCACTCCAAGTGGTGTCTGGCGGGCATTACCATGCCACGGAGCATCCTCGCTTGAGCAGACTTCAACGCACAGCAGGTGCCATGTGACATTCTTAATACCTCATACATAAGATCAGAGATGAGATGAGACAAGGCACTGTGTCCGCGGGCCAGCGCAGGCCAGCAGAGGCTCGATGCTGGCGAGCTTGATTTAAGGGGGCGCTTTGATTCCCCCCTATGCCCCGCTTCTTTAGATCTCATCCGTGACACTCCTTGAAGAAGTGCCGCTCGATCTGACCCGGCGCTTTGCCCTAAGCGGTGGCAGGTAGCTTGAGCCGCATACTGAAATAGGGCGGCGCCACGGCCGTGCAATTCGAAGTGCAACGTCTGCAAGTCGGAGAGTGTCCACTCTTCGGAGTCCAGCTAGAATAGTGTCTTAGGATGCATTCCAGAGAGTTCCTTGCCCTAGCTTTCGTGGTCCCCTTCTCGAATTTGCATGCCTTTTCCTGCCGGATGTAGCTTGCACAGGTTATGAACGTGCCTCCTTGGCGATTTTTCTGCAACCACATGCGCATGAGGCCAGGCTGATCGGGAAGGCTGATCGGGACCGAAGAATGCGTTGATGCAAAGCCAGACCGCTCAGGAATTGCCAATACCAGAAGGCAGCTCTATGCAGCAGGCCTCATCCGAACCGAATGTAGGCTGACTCACGGGACTAGAGGAGGGGACAGAGACTGCAAGGTAGGGTTTGAGCAGGTCACAAAGAACTTAAGGCTGCGAGGCGAATCTCCCTCATTATGCTAAAACTTTCGTGCCAGTGCCGGCATGAGGTTGCAGATCGTGCATATGATGGACTCTTCAGGACGGGTCTGACAACACTCCGTTTCCGTATTGTTGCAAAGTTTGCTGTTGGAGCAGCTCACAGGATGTTCTTGCTGTACCAGCCAAGTGACGCGAAAGGAATCAATTTCCTGCGTTTCTGTCAGCGTGAGGGCTTTTGAGTAAAACGTGCGAGGCCGCAACAGACTTCAATCCTTGTCGTAGTCGTTGCCAAGAGAGCGCCCCTGTGGTATCAGCTCCGGTTTCTCCGAGGTCCTTCTCTCTCCAGTGCGGTGGCCGAGGTTCTACAACAAAGTACTGCAGCTGCATGGTGCTTGCTTTTTTGTACAGTCCGTGGCGCTGCTGTCCACGGTAATGTATGGCGAAAGCATGCAGAAGCAGTGGCGGATCTCAGTTTTTCCACCACTGAGATCGAGTGAGTAGCTGCTGCAGCTACCCAGGTACTTCTCCGACTTGCTGGCACACGTTCGGAGTCGCACGACTCAGCTGCCAGACAGGCCCAGAAAAAGCTGGCATGTGCTCTGATGTGCAGGGTTTGCAGTGATTTGGGTCGCGGTGTTGTGAACACAGGAGGTTCTACATCACAGGCCACTCCTTGGGTGGAGGTTTAGCCAAGCTCGTGGCGGCCAAGACCCACATGCAGGCTTGGCTGCGATGCGCAATGTGCCGTTTTGCTCTCCATCTGCCCATCTGGGAGGCCGTGACCTTCATGGCTCCAGGTCTTGGCACCACAAGCTACGTAGTGTACAGGGAGCACATGCTAGAGGAGAGCACGCGGGAGGGTTTAGGACCCCGGCCCGGAGGCCCGGCAGCCGCTTCCTCTCAGGAGCTTCGACATATCTCGCTAACAATCATGCCCGAGAACGACGTGGTGTCAAGGGCGCCGGCGCCGGAAGCGTAGACTATTTTGCTGGCAGATCATGTTGCAAACCCTTGCAGGTGGACACACAGACCGGCATCACCATCAAGACTGACTGCGATGGAAACCCATTGCATTGCCGTCAAGCCGAATTGTGAAACCAGAGAACACCAAGCCGAGCAGGCTCTGGAGACTCTGCAACTGTTTGTGCCGAAGGTCACCAGCTATATTCCACAATCTGCACTCTGCTGCAAACGTGTGGGTTCCGAGCTCAAGCACCAAAGCTCCGCTCAAGACGGTTGGGAAACGCATGGATGGTCTGCGCAGCGTGTGCGTGTGCCTGCGTGTGTGTTCAGGTCTGGCAGAGCGGGGGAGGCTGCTTTGGCGCTTCCCTGCGGTGCGTCAGTCTCCCGGAGTCTGAAGGCTCTGGGCCAGAGCCTTCGCGCAGACGCAGCTGAGGTGTGAGAACATGCCGTGTCCATCGGCACACCTTCGACTTCCCCGCGAGGCGAGGGGACTCTCCGCAATTGCCAGCGCAATTGAGAAAATGCTTGAGTCGGCTGTTTCGGGCTCGAGCTAAACTCGGCGGCAAGTGCTCGCACCTCACTCCGACCTCGCTCCAGAGCACGCCGCTCGAGCTTCGAGTGTCCTGTCGGATGCCTTTTGTTGTCTGTGATCTGCATGCGGCATTCGCCTGGCCTTCCCTGTGAAGCGCAATTTTCATCTGTCAACGTTCCCACAGCTTAGAGATGCTCTGCTAAGATCGCCGGTGTTGCGGGATTCAGGAGTGCGAGGACGAGTCAGCTGCGAGCCAGCTAGGAACAGCTGCGGCTTGGGCTGACTGCCTTTGCTTCACCTGCGCCTTTAATGTCAGTTTACATCTTAGCACTACTGATCAAAGTCTTCTGACCGCAGTGTCCCGGAAGAAGGCACATGAGAGCTCGGTACTGCAACACCAGTCAGCTTGCTGCCTGGGCAGCCAGAGGGTGCAGCAGGTGCAGCTGAAGACAAGATCGTTTGCGTGCTTCGGAGTCGAAGATGTGGCGGCAAGTGGTCACAGAGCTCCAGGAGGGTCCATCGTCTGCTTCAGGGCGTTTTATGCGCCTCCTACAGGTCCCCTCCCTGTCACATAATCCTCTTTGGTTTGGGGTTTTGTGTGCCGTCCTGCAATGTTGGATTTTCTGTCCTGAGTTGCCATGTGAAGGTTGTCAGACTTCGCTGCCAAGGTGTCCTTGCAAGAGCACGTATGCTTCGTTTGAGTCTCCATGCTGTGATTTAGCTGTTTCTCTCAGATGCGTTGCTAAGTTGCAGCATATCCACCGCACATCTTCCTGCATGGATAGGGAACAGATTGCAAGTTTACTCAAAGCTTTGATGGCAGCAGCACAATGCACTGTATGTTTCAGTTCCGAACAAGGAGAGACTCGTCAAGACGAGGTATCTTCCGGCAGCAGTATTTTCAGACACCTTCGAAGACGGAAACAGTTGCAACAAACATAGGTTGCCAAATATGGAGAATCTGCCTGCTGCGATTCGACAGATGGCTGATGGAGCTCCAGCCTCAAAGCGACAGAAAACGGAGTCGGCTGGTGAAGCAGGCGCCTTTGGAACCTCTTTTGGGGGTGCAGGTTCCAGTTTTTCGGCAGGACCCATGGCATCGATATCTCAAGCGGATGCCATGGCAACACTATTGGCCATGACCAACGGTGGTGTTGGTGGGATGCCTGGCATGGCCATGGCCCCCACATTTCCCATGTCCCCCATGGCGCACGCGCACGTGGCGGGTGTGGCTTCCTCTATGCCGTCCGCACCATCGATGGCCGCAGCTCCGAGACCTGTCCAGCGGTCGGCACGGGTCGCAGCTGGGCCCGTGCCCGGTGTCATCGCCAAGCCGGCTGTGCGTGCAGCGGTCCCAGCAGACCCTCGAAGCCCCACAGAGATCAAAGAGGAGCTGCTCCGGCAAGGGATCGACGTGAAGGGCTTAACGTCTACACGAGAGATACAGAACAAGCTACATGAGACGGAAGCAAATGTCAAGCGAGCAGAGGCTACTAAGCGTCTCGATCGGCACCCTGACCAGAAGCTCCTATCTTGCTTTACCGAAGGCCTGGCACCGGGGCAGGATGCGATGCTGAAGATGCTTGAAAGCGGCTCAGATCCCAACACGATGTCAGAAGGAAGTGGGAGTGGCTTCGCAGTCGGGATGACTCCTTTGCTTGCAGCTGCCAGTTGGGGGAAGGTGGACGAGGTGCGGCTGCTCATTGCAGCAGGAGCGGACCTCAGGGTCCGGACGCCCAACATGAGCCAGACGGCGATGCACCTCGTGGCCGGCGGCAACATCGAGTCCTGGGGTGTCGAGAAGACCATGGGTCTCCTTCGCCTTCTGGTCCACAAGGTGCTCACATGTCGACATGCCGTGGCTAAAGGGCGAAAACCGTAGGCCTACACTGCACTGAGAATCGGCGTAACCACGAAAATCCGCGTTGCTCAGCAGCTATCATTGAGTTCCTAGGATGGGAAGGATTCTTGCCATAGGCAGTTGCAGACCTTCGGCACCTTGCAGGCTCCTGAACTGCTTGCGGAGAAGAACGCCTTGGGCAAGACTCCGCTGGATTGTGCAAAATACGAGAAGAAGCGCCAGCAAGCTGCCTACCTGGCGAGCCTTCCGCGTTGATGCAGCAAAGCTTGCGCCAGCTGGAGCAGCCATTGCCGGACGTTCCTCCTTCATATCGGAGCTCTTGCCTGGGTAGCAAAAAGGGATTGGCAGTTGCGACCCCCCTCGTGAGTCGTGCCTCAGTCTTCTGAAAAACTAGATATCCTCGAGCCATATATCAGGAGGTGCAGCCTAGGTAAACCTCATGTATGGAACAGTCCGGTAACGAAGTTTACTCCAGCTTGTTGTTGCCTGCGTGCCCTGCACGTACAGAGCTCTGGGAAGTTTCGCTAGCAAGCTTGGTTGACCTTGCTGGACAGACTGAACTTTTGCAAAGGGGCTCACAGGCAGCGAGCTGTGGCGTCGGGTTCAGGGCCTAGAGGTTGGCCCAGCTCTCCAGCGGCATGCTTCGACAGTCGTGATAATGAAACTCCTCGTCAACACAGAAGTTGGCTCTTTTGCACAAACACGGCATGAGGGGATTGTGAAGAAGATGTGGCTCGAAGAACTGTAGCCCGTAAGACCGGTCTTGCAATGAGGGCAAGGGCTGGCACCCGCTGCTCCAGGAGCGGTCAGAGGAAGGTTCCAACATTCCAGCAAGCCTCTCGCAGAATCTCACAGCTAAACAGAGGCTGCAAAAGATCAGGGTATGCGGGGGGACCCCACTCAGGTGGCATCTAGCCTCTAGCATGCATGTAGCTATCGCTGATCATATGTGACAGTGTGATCATGTGTGACCTGTAAAGGCCCCTTGACTTGAAATCACGATGTTTGTAGTAAATGTTCTAGAACAAAAAGGTCGTAACATCCATGTTCATACGCTTTCTAGCGAATCTGGGTCTAGACGCTGGGCGCAAGCGAAGGAGATGAGACGCCTAAGTGGACCCCGTCGAACAGTCCCTACTGGCTTGAAATAGCTCCTTCATTCAGTCCAGAACTCGACCTTGCTTGCGTTGCAAGCAGCTTTTTGTGTGCGGAGTAAGGCGGAGTCACAGAGGTTCACGGAACTTGCACATCTTGCGACCTTCTGCCTACTGCCGTGTGACGTGTGCCACGGACAATGACAACGACGAGCTGGTCTGGCGGGATGTTTCATACAATGCGTTGAGCACGGGCAAGTGGCATGACCTGCAACTTGAATCAAGCACCAAAGATCTTTGACAGTTTTCTCCATCGATCGCCGTGAACTTTCGTGAAGCGCAGTACATTTTTGCGGTCAGGAATCATCGTAGCATTTTGCATTTCACGGATGTCGAAGAAGAGGGAGCACAGCACTTCGGACTCTATCGTTTGAGGACCCGGCAGAATCTGTTGGCTGTCTGTGATGCCAACCTGGCCGGAAGGTTGCAAGCAAGAGCTTTCGGGAAAAGGCGTGCTTAGTGAAACTGTGTTCCATGCAGCCTCACATCTAACTCCACATTCCTGCGGTCCTACGATCTATGATGTCCGACGCCTTGTCAGGTGTCCTGAGAGCCGCCGCAGGGAAAGTCCTTGTTGCCCCTCCGAAAACCAAGCCCGTACGTTGCCCATGCAACCAGAGCCAGACGTGCAGCCTCCTGGGTCTGGATGGGTTCTTTGCCCACATGTCTTTGAGGGCAACGGTTGTTTCCGAGGGAACTGCATATGACAGTATGTCCTTTTGGCCCGTGCAGCTGGAAGCAGGAGCGAGGGAACGTGTCAAGTGTCATCCCTGCAGCGGCTCCACTGCATGTGCTCCACGACTCCGCGACATCCAGACATCGAGCATCCGCAGCATTCGCACAAGGTGCGTAGAATCGCCATCCACCTGTTTCCAAAGCAATGAAAGCTTCGCATGTTGCAGCTGGGGTCCCTTGCCTTGCTTTCGGCTTTTTTCAATCTTTCGTGTTGAGACCACTTTGCAACTGAGGCACATGGCTGATTTTTGCCCCATATGTCATCCGATGACTGCAAGGCCTGTTATGGACTCGCACGTGGTTGTGTGCACCCTCTGTACCCTACGCTCGCGATTCGCATTTTGATTGCTCTTTATGGAGCTCCGGGTTTCCACTTGTTGCAGTCGCTCCTGTGCCAGAATGCCCGCATGTCGAAGGATGTCTTGAGACTCGTGTCATCCAGGGCTTGATTGCATGGCCCAACCCCTGACCCATAGGATTGAATGCAGAGCACAAGTCATAAACATCACTAGGCGAACACTGCATGTCGAAACCGGGACATGCAGGGATTGGCTCGGTTCTGCGATGTTCATGACGACCAGTTTTGCACCACCTGGTGTCCATTTGAAGGGGCCCTTTCGCTGCGGAATCCTCTCCAAAGTCCCCAAACATGGACATTCTCCGACATGCGGTTACTTCGACAGCTCTCCTTTGCCCTCACACATTCTGCCTTCGAAGCGAACGTCCCAGGAACATGCTAGGATCCTCAGAAGCAAGCAAATCGAGAAAACAGTCGAACCCGAAGCCTACCTGAGGCTCCCAACACGCACTCTGACAGTTTCAGGTCCACATTGTTTGTTTCGGGTCCGAGCATTTGCAATTTCGAGTTTGGGGTGTAGGGTTTGGCATCTGGAATGCCATGCCGCATCCTCCTTCTCTGAACCGAAATGGTGGGCTTGAAATGCGCCTTGCCCAAAGTTCTGAAGTTCGCTGCTGAAAGTCCCAAGTGGAAGATGCTCGAGATGCTGCTATTCTTTAAGCTTAAGCTTGCGAGCGGACCTGCAACAGGTGAGCCACTGCTTCTATCTATTGTAATCCCAACTCCATGTTTGCTTTGATGATAAGCTGCCGCGACACTTCCTGTTCTGTATCGGTTATCGGTCAACGAGATCTCATGCTGTAACCCTGTCATCTACAGCCCAGAGATGTAAAGAGCGGTTTTCATCTTTGACCTGCCGCGTCAGGAGTTTCACGTCTCATGCCTCAGCCTTGAGCGCGGCCGGACTGCGACCAGCGTTGAAAACGAGGTAGTGACAGGTAGTGAGCCGTGCGGTCGGGTGTTGGGAGCAGACATATCTGACAGTTTGTGTGCATCCTGTGTTGTCATTGAAACCCTGACCAGCCCACGCCAAGTTCGGCTTCGACAAGTGACATGTGCAGAAACAAATCGGCAATAATCAGGAGCCAAAAGGGCCAAGGCGCAACAAAATGGTCTTCGAGTCAGCACCTTCAGAGATCAGCCTGCGAGCTTTCCTGACCATCTCCACTCTCCTTGAGCCCGAGCCGTTGGGACCGTTAGGAATCTCGGATCACTCGAACTTGCTTCTCCATGGCGACCAGTGTGGATGCAGTGATGTGGCCATGTGGGGGCCTGGGTTCAACGTGTCTCGAGAGCTGCTGCTGGCGATCCGCCAGAGCAACCAGCAACGAGTGCATCATCTCGTGGAGGGCCTCGTGGGAGCCTTGCGGCAACAACGAGAGGCTCGGCTGCTCTGTCCAGGCGGCAATGCTTCGCTTCTCGTGACTTTGGAAGGCGAAAGCGGGCTGGTCAGCAGAGACTTTCGGCACATCCTTGTGGGATTTTGCTTGCGCAGTCCAGCGCTTGTCGCGGCTGCCGCTGGGTGAGCACGAAAGAGCCTTCTGGACGGAAGTGACGCATGCTTCTTGGAACGAATTTGGTTGATTGCTTCTGCTGCAGTGGAGCATTGTGCCGAACACATTCCCTGAGCTCTCAGGTGATACGACAAACTCAGGTTTCACTCCAGCCTCGTGACTTGAAGAAACTTATGGAATGGCAGGACAAGTAGGGTTGCTGTAGAAGCCTCCGCACAGCTGCCCAATGGTGAGCGCTTATTGAATAGGCTCGAGTGCTTTGCTGAGGGGAGCTCGCTCTCTTTTGCAATGCGTTGGCGTCATCGCCGACGGTCGAACCTGCACAGCTGCTCCTCAAGCGGGCAGTTGAGCTTCAAGCCGCCCCTCGGCAGCGACAGACGCAAGGCAAGTCTCCCGGTCCAGAGCCCTGAAGGAAATGAATGCCAAAGACCTCCAGATGGTGCTGCACGGTCTTTCTCACTGTGCTGCGACTGGAGAGGATCCAGGCTTTCCCGACCTGGCATCGAGAGAAAGCCTGGCAGCCACTGTCCTGAAGGCAGGGCCTGTTGAAGCTGCCGCCAAGACCAAGGCTTCCTCTGACAGGTTCGGTTGGACAAAGATCATCCGGTGCAAGCAGCGCAGCTTTTAGCTGCTTTCGTCAGGCAGGGCTTGTTGCTGGAGACTTGAAGCGAGCTGTTGAGAACCCCTGCCCGTCCGCTCTGCTCTACTTCGGAGTTGAGACTCAACGGTTTTGACAAGGGTGTGATCGACATTGAGGGTGACTTCATTAGCTGAAGCGGGAAGGGGCATCATGCTCGAGTATGGAATCTCGGAAAGCATCGAAACTCGGCTGAGAGGTTGCGCCACGACAATGACGCCGTGCTCTCCAAGCACCTCTTTGACCACGCAGTTGAAACACTTCCTGGATGGGATGTGCAGTCCTTGACTGTCCTCTGCACTGCCATTGCAGGAAGTCGTCGTGCAGCAAGAGCATCGATTGAACTGGCTGAAGGATCCGAGGAAGCTTGGGAGGCAATTGTCTCGAGATTGGTTGAACTCCTGCCAAAAGCCAAGCCATGGCAGCTTGCATCTCTGGCCCGTGCGCTCAAAAAGGTCGGTGCCTCACACAGTAGCGTGGAGCCGTTTTATGACGGGATGGAAGAGTTGCTGACTTCGACACACCGCTCGGACTCTCTTTCGCCGGCTGACTTGACCTTCGTCGTGAACGGTTTGGCCCAGCAGAGGTGCCTGCAGCTACGCAGGCCTGACGCTGAAACCACGAGCTTAAATGACACACAGCCTCTCACATCCTGGGTTTTTGAAGAGCAAGTTGGGCGCAAGCTACATGCCTTCAGCTCAGCAGAGCTTGCCGTGGTCCTGCATGCAGCGATGCGGCTGAGCGACTAGGAGTGGATTATCCGTTTCCTGCTTAGGCTGCTTAGGCTTTGTTCGCTAGCAGCTAGGATGTGCTGGCAGTGATGTGGCTGTCCAGCGAAACCAGCTGCCTCGGGGACA